ATATATGTACATACATATATATATGTGTGTGTGTGTCTAATTTTTACTTCCTTTCCCAGTCGTGTTCCCTAAAAAACAAGAATATATTCTAGCATTCACTTATAAGGAAATTGGGGGACACTAATGGGTTACATATTTTAACTGTCCTTTGTGTGAGTGTGGAGGTAATTCTTATGAATGGCAATTATATTCTCCCCTAAATTTTTGTCTGCTAATTTAATCAATTAATTAATTAATTAAATTATTATTTTTTAATCCTCACCCAAGGATATTTTTTTTCCATTGCTTTTCAGAGAGAGTGGAAGGGATAGAGAGAGAGGGAGGGATAGAAAGAGAGAGGGAGGGATAGAGAGAGGGAGAGAGAAACAATGAAGTGAGAGAGACACATCAACTGGTCGACTCCCACACCTGTCCCGACCAGGGCCAGGGATCCAGCCTGCAACCAAGGTATGCACCCTTGGCTGGAATTAAACCTGGGACCCTCCAGTTTACAGGCTGGATGCTCTAACCACTGAGCAAACCAGCCAGGGCTGCTAGTTTTATTTAATAAGACTATAACTGAAAGAAATAGGGCAGCATATACTCAATTGGTACAAGACCCTCAACACAAACTCATAAAATCCTAGGTGATATTTACAACTGAGTTAAGTGTTCTACTACTTACAACTTGGAAAAAGTGAAGGTAATATAACTAGATAGATGTTTAATGCTCCAATTGAATGATCAGTAAGCAGCTCTGTCTAAACCACAATATATTTATGTCAGTTATAGTACACAATCATTCTTCATGGCCACTATTCTTCTTCCAGGTTTGTAAGAGTTTACTAAAACAGATGGTTGGCTAACTTTTCTTACAAAGAGCCAGATAGTAAATACTTTGGGCTTTGTGGACTATACAATCTCTGTCGCAACTACTCAACTCTGCCATTGTAGTGGGAAAGTGGCCATGAACAATAAGCAAACATATGGGCATGGCTATGTTCCAATAAAACTTTATTTACAAAACCAAGTGGCAGGCTGGATTTGGCCCAAGGGCAGTACTTCAACTTTCAAACAGAATTGATGAAGTGACAGTTTAAATGCAGGGGTCGGGCTAGAGGTATTTAAAGCGGGAGGGCACTGGCAGAAATCCAAGAACTTAATTTCTAATTCTAATAAGAACCAGAGAAGTAGAAGAAAAAAACTACTACCTTTACATACAATTATTGACACCAGTAGTGAACTCAGCCAACTAGAGGACTAAAGAGTATAAAGAACCAAGAGGTTCAAAATTTTAGACATTGGTATTTCTATTAATACAAGATGTACACAAAACAGTGCAGGGATTTCTTAAAGACAGTAACACATGTATTAAAAAGCTGACATTTTAAGGAACAAATCCTGCAAATGCTGGTTCAAGAGAGACTGAGTCTTTATATACAGGAAGTATGAAGCAAAAGTGAAAACATTTCTTGAAAGAAGTTCAACAATATTTAGCAACCTGTGAAAGAGGCAAAGCAGCAAGTATTAGAAGCCCAACTAAGGGAAAGTGAGAAAAGTGAGCAGTGTACACATGCAACTGAAAAGAACTAAGGTGAAAGTGAATTCAACTAAGGCTTAATGTAATTCTACTCTAACCTTTTCTTCCTTCAATGTAACCTCTTTTACCATACTCTAAACTTGCCAAAACAGCACAAAATATGCCCATAGATCATTCGAACAAGTTTCCTGACCTCAGGCATGTCATATACCATTCCTGTGTTACTTCTTCTTCATAAAAAAAAAAAAGAGGCTCTGGGCTTGGTCCACTTTGCGGTTTCTTTTTTTATTTTAAAAAATTTTTTTCTTCTTAATCTTCATCTGAGGATATTTTTTCCATTGCTTTTCAAAGAGAGT